ACTTTTTTCAGCCGAAATTGGAAACACATTTCTATATATATAGGGAATCATGATTTAACCTGGTTATAAACGAACCATATATGGCTATGTTAAGTTGACTACATTATAAATGACGTAAAAGAGTAACTAATAAGAGGCCACGAAAATGACGTATCAGGAAAATGCATGAGAGGAGGAGCCTCACACGTCGATTATCGGCCTTGCATGTGCTTGTAACATGGTAGGACCATCTACTTACTATTTTTAAATTTATTAGTGGCCTCTCTAGTCAATCCGGATCATTTAAATAGCTAACCAAAATAATATTGATAAATATAGTGGTTTATCTTTGTGAACGTTATAAATATACTTCTGCGATTTTAGCACACCACAAGAGTTTATAAAAGAGAGAAATTTGTTATTCCATCTCTTTTCTGAGTTATAACTTTACTTACTTAATTTTAGGTGTAAAAGCTAAAACTGTCACATAAGAAAATTCAATAGCATTATCACAATCTTGTTAGTTACTCATTTCTTCCGTTGAGCGTTGAGAAATCTAACACTTAATCACGAGCCATTTTGTCATATAACTGATTTTAGATTTCTCATCATAGCTATAATAGTGATAATCGAAATGGTGTCACGTTTTAAGTTCATTAGAAAATATGATGAATGGACTATCCGATGACTACAATCACTCTGAAAAATTAGTCAGATAGTAAAAGTTTGTATTATCTCATAATTCTGAAAAAAAAAAATTTGGTTTTAATGTTAAGATTTATACCAAAAAGGTTCAAAATACAACTAATATTTTGTACGATACTTACCCATACGTTAATTACCCTTACAACTTACCCATAAAGAGTTAGGGCCCAAAGAGTTATACAACTAAAATAAAATTCAAGGAGAAAAGTATAGTAGAACCACTATCACTTGGAGAATAGGAAATTAGGCGATTCCGCATCGTGCAATCTACTGAAGCTTTAATCACGTTCATAGGAGTTGAGGTCGAGGTGAAGATTCTTGCATTTCTCTCCTTCCAAATCGCATAGACAATAGTTTGGAGAAGACGCTTGACAACAATCCATCGACTATTGTCACTAGAAGAATGTGGCTGGATCATGAGAGGTAAATGTAATCTTAAATAAATACTTGTATCTAGTAATTACACTGATAAGATTCTAAAAATGTGTTACTAACGCTGAACATATTGAAGTCATTAGTTAACAAATCTTTTGTCAATTTATATAACATCAACAGAATCAACACAAATATGAGATATGATCAATATGACCAACGTAAAATGAAGGAAGAGACAAATTATTAAAGACTTGTGGATTGAGGCATGTGCAAGTAGGGGCCACTTGATTAGGAATCGCATTTGGTCTAACCGCAACATTTGCATGTGGCCACAACCACAACCTTCAAAGTCCCCTCCCTGATCTTATAATATCATAAAATACATAAACATTTTTCTTTTATATTTTCCTAACTGTTTAATTTTGTTGTCCACAAACATAACACAATACAACTATAAATCTGGCCGCAAAAAGAAAAAAAAAAATCTTCACTCTACTCAAGTTTTAACGGTGGCAAACATTTTGACTTTACTTCTAGTTATCCACACAAGTTACCCATTTGGCCAAGTTACTACTCTATGAACATATACCAAAAATTGATATGGAGATACATTGGGATTTAACGAGAAATAAAAGGCACAATTATCTAGCAAATTGGCCAGAAGACACTTGAATAAAATATATGAGTCTAACCAAAAAGGTGAAAGAAGAGACACCAATACAGCATTATAATTTAATACGTAAACATTTTAAAAAGAAAACAAAAATATTATCTCTTGCCACTATTATAAAGTCCTAAACTCCTATATATACTCAATCCCTCCACATTTGATTCCATATCAGTCTCAAGATTCTCACAAAATCAAATCCGATACTCAAAAACCGAATTAACCAACTCCCCCCCCACAAAACAAAACAAAAAATGTATACCTTAGACTCCAAATATTCTATTATCTCAATATTATCCATATTCAGCTTATTATTCTTCCTCCAAGGAGCTCATGGAGACTACGGAGGTTGGCAAGGTGGTCATGCCACGTTCTACGGCGGCGGTGACGCTTCCGGTACCATGGGTACGTATGCGTATGTTAGCTAAATCAGTCTCTTTATACATGTGTATGTTAGTTATAATTAACAATTATCATGTCAAAATCAGGCGGAGCTTGTGGCTATGGAGATTTGTATAGCCAAGGTTACGGGACGAACACGGCGGCTTTAAGTACGGCTTTGTTCAACAACGGACTCACGTGCGGTGCGTGCTATGAGATGAAATGTAACGATGATCCGAGATGGTGTCTCTCGTCTACTATTACCGTAACAGCCACTAACTTTTGCCCACCAAACTTTGGCTTATCCAACGATAATGGTGGATGGTGCAATCCTCCTCTACAACATTTCGACCTCGCCGAGCCAGCTTTTCTTCAAATCGCTCAGTATCGTGCCGGCATTGTCCCTGTCTCTTTCCGAAGGTCCGTTTTCACGTTTTTCTTAGTATTTATGACGCAAAATAATAAACCGGACAAGACCTTCAACGAACCAATAACTTTAAAGAAAGAATGACGTCTAGTTTAATAAATTGTGTTAATGTCGTTGTTGTGTTACAATTAGGTAATACTAATGAGTTATTTGTTGGTTTTATGTGTAATTGCAGAGTACCGTGTATGAAGAAAGGAGGAATACGATTCACGATTAACGGACATTCATACTTCAACCTAGTTCTGATCTCGAACGTAGGAGGAGCAGGAGACGTTCACGCGGTCTCGATCAAAGGCTCAAAGACAGGGTCGTGGCAAGCAATGTCTAGGAACTGGGGACAAAACTGGCAAAGCAATTCTTACATGAACGGCCAAAGCCTCTCGTTCCAAGTCACAACTAGCGACGGTCGGACCCTGGTTAGCAATGACGTGGCTTCTTCTAATTGGCAGTTCGGACAAACCTTCCAAGGTGGTCAGTTCTGATCGACTCCATCGTCTACACTCTCTCTGTTTTCGAGGTGCTGACGTGGCTGCGTATTGCTGAGGTGGCTCGTAAGCACCCGCTAGGCTTAGCCTTCTTCCTTTTTTTCTTCCTTTTTCTTCCGTTTTACGAATTTGTTGTTCTCAATGATTGTAATATTTATTCATCGTGCCTACAAATTAAAGAGCAAGGTTTTCCAGTTTGTATTTTTTTTTAATTGAATTAGCCTTTTGGCATATACTCTCTCCGTTCTTAAAAAGGAATTTTCTATTTTTTTTTTCATGTTCTATAAAGATATATATATATATTTTAAAACATTTTTATGCTTTTCCAATAATGAATTGTACTTTAAATATATTTATGTTTATGGAAGTACTATTGGTTTAGAGTAAAGAAAAATTGTTTAATATACTAAATTTTTTATATTTCATTTTTTTTTCAAAAAAAGAAAAGAAATTTTTTTTAAAAAAATTTTAAAAGAGTACTTTTTGGTTAACAAAAATCGCTTAATCGACCATAAAAAAATGAAAATTCAATAAATCGAATTTATATATACCAAGAAAGATCATTTTGACTTTTGAGTCAACGGTTGCTACAAGTCGTTAACCGCGTGAAGAAGAATTGTATTTTTCGTCTCTGTTTTCACAAACGGCAGTTTTCCTCTCCGGTGACGTAAATCTGCGGCCAGTTAATCCAGTTATGGTTTCTCACGGCGAAGAAGTTGCTTTCAAGTTATCGGATTATTGTGTTCTCAAGATTGTCAAAGGAGACATCACTAATTGGTCCGTCGATGGTTCCTCCGATGCTATTGTCAGTCT